ATAGGTAGGGAGGAAGGGGCTGTCAGATGGAGGGTCGGGGCTGGCGTGGGAGGCCAGGAAAGGCCTGGATTGCCCCAGGCTGGAGGCTCCCAGGGCCAGAGGGCAGGGCCTGGAGGCGGGCGGGGGCAGAGCTGTGCAGCCGTGGCAGGGCCTCAGCCCCGGCGTGGGCACTTACGGGGGGGCGTGCGGAGGGCGGCCCGGCTGCGCTCGTGCGTACCTTGGCTGCCTTGCCAGGCGCTCGGCGGTCGGGAGCGGTTGAGGGAGCCTCCCTCAGCCCGGCAGGTGCCTGTGGCTGGTGCTGCTGTGGGCGAGGGCCCCACTGTTTAGGCGCCTGCTGCGTGGCCTCACTTGGTTTACTGCCGTGGCTGTGTCTTGGCCGGGGAATCTCAGGCTCAGAAGGTGCTCGGGACGGTGGGGAGGGGTGGGGGTCCCCGGGAGACCCATGGCCGGGGCTGAGGGGAGATGAGGAAGCTGGAAGCCCCACACCAGGGGTCCTGAGGACGAGTCTGGGTGTGAACTGGAGACCTGGCCCCGGGACCCACAGCTGGCTCCTCCCGCACCCACCGCCCTGCCCCTGTCCCGTTCTCTTCTAGCCCAGCCCCTGCCTCTGTGAGGGCCGCCGCCCCAGGGCCCCCACCTGTGCTCCCAGAGCCCTGTCACCTGCCTGCCCTCCCCTCCACCGCATTCCTGCACACACACCCCCCTTGCCTGCCGGGCTGCTGAGTGAGCCGGGCCTGCAGCTGCCCGGGGGAACCTGGATACAACCCAGCCCTGCCCCAGGACTCCCAGCTGCGTCTCCCTCAGCCCCGCGTGCCCCCCCCGCCCCCCAGCAATCCATCACTCAGGGCCGCAGGCCGCACGGCTGTCGGCGAGGAATCCCCAGACAGGGGGGGGCCGGCTGCCGTCTGCACAAGCCCTGTCTGGGTGCCTCCACTGCTCGGCTGCTGCCCTGGAGAGGCAGTGTGGGGGACACCGGGGGGCTGGGCCTGCAGACGCCTCCCCACCCCGGCTTCCCGCCGAGGCCTCCCAGGCGCCTGGGACCCCACTGCCGCCTCTCCCAGAGGAGCCCGACCCTGCAGCTCCGACCCCGTCTGCAGCACCGACCCCGTCTGCAGCACCTCGCACTCCGTGCTCCCACCCCGCACGCTTCTTGGGGGGCGGGGCAGAGGGTCCCTGGGCAGGGAACAGGGACCGCCTGAGGGTCTTGGCCTCCGGCTCCACCAAACAGGCCCATGCAGGGCTGCATCCCAGGCCCAGCCCTGTGGAGGGCGCCCCCCCGCTGCTGCGTGGGCTCTGTAACTGCGCCCCTGCCCGGGAGACGAGGCGGGGGCGGGGGCGAGAAGCCGACTCCCCATGCTTCTGCCTTGAGGCTGGGGGCCCCCTGGGGAGGTGGGGCTCCTGCCTTTGGCTCTCCCAGGCACAGGGCCCAGCCCCCTGCCCTGGCAGGAAGAGACCCAGGCCCTGCTGATGAGCAGCGGGCCCGGGGACACTGGGCCTGTCCTTCCCCACCCGCATGGTGACGGAGCAGCTCCACGCGGCTCCGGCGTGAGGGCTGTGGGCTCCTGGGCGTCTGGAAGTCGTCTCTCAGCGATCTGGCAGCTGGTGCGGGCACAGAGGCGGCGGGGGCGGGGCAGGTGCCGCCCGTGCCGAAGGCCTGGCATGGGCACACGTGGCAGCTGCACATCTGGTGGCCTGGAGGGCATGAGAGTCCCCGGGGACCAGACGCCCGCACGCAGGACCACTCCTTCCCGGCCGCGCGGAGGGGCAGCAGCCGGCGCTGCCTCCGCTCTCAGGGCCTCACCCGCGTCTCCCCCATGAGCGTCTGTGCCCTCCGGGGCCCGGCCACCTGCTCCTGCGTGGCCGTCCTGGCAAGTGGTGGGATCGCCTTCTGAGGCCCTGCACTCCCCATGGGAACTTGGGGGACACAGCCTGCCCCCCGACTGCAGGTCAGGAGGGGCCCTGGGGGCTGCGTGGGTGGAGGTGGGCGTGAGGGCTGGGACCAGCAGAGCGGGTGCTGCCCCGGCCACTTCTGAATGCCCGTGGGAAACAGCCCTCAGCCCTGGCCCATCCCTCACTCCCCGGGAGTGGCTGAGGGGTGTTTGGGCCTGGCCCCTCCCCTGCGCCCCGTTCTTGCTTCCAGCAAGGGGCCTGGCAGGCCTTCCTGGGTGCCCTGCTTGGGCCCCGCCCTGCTGGCCCTTCCCAGGGTGGGTGGAGGGCAGCCCAGGCTCTGGAGAGGGCTGGGTGGGGCCCACGTCTCCTCTGTCTCCCTGGGACAGGCACTGGAGGATGGACAGCTGGGGTGCAGGTGTGGTCAGGGCTGGGGGCTTCTCCAGCTCAGGGTCTCGTGGCCACCAGGCTCCAGGGAGAGGCCTCTGAGCCAGGGGTGACCAGCCCAGAGGGCGGCACGGCGGCTCTCCCGGGCACGGCCAGCTCAGTGCCCTCCAGCAGCTCTGCCGGCCACTCCTGTCCCCACAGCACCTGCCGGTGCCAGGCCTGCCCTGCACACCCTCTTCCCAGAACGTCAGCCACAGCGGCTTCTCCAGCTCAGCCAAGGCTCCAGAGCTTTGCCCATCTGGCCCCTATGCCAGGCCAGCTCTGTCCTCCACACCGCTCCAGGGCCAGCCTGGCCCCCACCCCCTCAGGGACCAATGAGACCCTGTGAGGACACTTTGAGAGGGAGCCGCCTCTCCCTGCTACTCGCACCCCCGAAGGCTCCAGCACCCCCCACCCCTGCCCAGGACACCTGCCTTCCCTGTGGCCTCAGCTGCCCCCCACGGGGCCATCACTGGCCAGCCTGGCGACTAATGCCACCCCTGCAGGCTCAGCCCAGCTGTGAACCTGCCGAGGCCCTCGCCCGCCTGCCAGCCCTGGGTCAGTTTAGGCTGGGGCTTCTGCGGGGGTGGGGGGGCACTGGGAGGCGACAGGTGACAGGCCTGGGCTCTCTCCCTCCTTCCCCTGGGTCAGGGGCGGCCTCGAGCCTGCTGTGACCAAGGAGACCCCAACAAAAAAGAGTGACATCAGGGCCTGCTGGCACCAGCTGGTGTGAACCCCTACGTCCAGCTGGTATGAACCCCTACGTCCAGCTGGTGTGAACCCCTACGTCCGGCTGGTGTGAACCCCTACGTCCGGCTGGTGTGAACCCTTACGTCCGGCTGGTGTGAACCCCTACATCTGGCTGGTGTGAACCCCTATGTCCGGCTGGCTGGGGGGTGATGGGGACCAGGCCCCAGGCCCCTGACACCCACATCACCCAACCCACCGTAGGGCCATCCTGGACACTGGTCCTGCTGCCCACAGGACCCAGAGCCATAAGTAGAGGTGGGGATGGCCCTCGGGGGAGTGACCGCTAGGCAGGGCTGCTCAGTGGACCTGGAGGCGAGCTGCAGGTACAGGGGCGAGACCCTGAGGCCTGGACAGGTCTCAGCCTCCCCGGTACACTGGGCTGGGCCGAGCTCTGCCGGCCAGGGGCTCTCCTGGCACCCCTGCCATCTCCCGGGCATTCTTCCAATGGGGCTGTGGCTCTGGCATTCCCCGATGAGGAGCTGGGGGGGAGGGGAAGGTGATGGACGAGAGAGGGACTCACTGCCCGAGAGCAGGTGCCGTCCCGGTGCCCACTGTGGAGGCACGGCACCCACCCGGACACACGCAGGGGCTGCAAGCCCTGCCTGCCGGGAGACCGGGCGGGCGCCCAGTGCCGGACCCTCTGCAGCCCCCTCCTCGCCCCAGAGACCTTAGGGACAGGCGGAGCCGCAGAGCCCTGGTGCTCAGGTGCGCCGGCTCCTGGGTATTGTGGGTAGAAAATGGCCACAGCGCTCCCTCCACCCCACGATGCTCCAGGCCTAAGACACCTGCAGGGCAGGGCCACGGGGTGGGGAAGGAGCCCAGGCGGGGCCAGGAGGCTGCAGATGGGGTGGGGGACGTGGGAGGCGCCTGGAGGCCTGGTGTGGCTCACGTGGGCGTGCCAGGGAGGCCAGGACAGGCACCCTGTCCAGAGCAGCCACAGGCAGGCCGGACCACGAGGGAACTGGAGATGAAATAGGTGACCATGTTGGACCCCGTGACCGTTTAGGGCCACGTCCCCCCGGGGGACACGGGGCAGGAAGGTGCACCTGGGGAGGAGCCGCAGTTCTAGAACATTCGGCCCCGAAGGCTGCAAGGCAGCTCTGAATTATTCGTTGAAATACAATATTTCACTAAAATTACCCGCTAAGCCAGCAGCGGGTTATAAGGCGCGTGCGCGGCTCTGCACCTGGCGCCACCCGAGGGTAGTCCCGGGCCCACCGGCGTCCTCTCCCGCGCGGCGCAGCACCTGCCCCGGCCCTGGCCGCCTACTTGAGCGCGCGTCACGCCGCGGGCCCTGCGTGCACGGCCCTTCTCCGTTCTCGGCCCACCCCGCCCGTCCGCACCTTCACGCGTGGCCTAGAGGAGCCCCGTCTGGATTTCCCCTGCGCCTTCGGCCTCTGCCTCCCCTCCCCCTCGCGTTCCCGGCTGAGCCGAAGGACCCCTCCGTGCCCCGGCGGTCCACTCGCAAAGCCAGCGAACGCCGACCCAGGTGCTGGAGGCGGACCCTCGCAGATCCGCTCGGCCGCGGAACGCGCAGCGCTCCCCTCCCCACAACGCCCATGTCCTCCGGCCCCGGCAAAACCCGACAGACGGCGCGGCCGGCGGCGCCCAAGGTCCGCGCAGGTGCTCGGCGCCGGCCCTGCTCCAGCCAGGCCCCGCCCCGGCCCCGCCCCCGCCCCCGCTCCAGCCAGGCCCCGCCCCGGCCCCGCCCCCGCTCCAGCCAGGCCCCGCCCCGGCTCCAGACGACCCCGCCCCGGCCCCGGCCCCGGCCCCGCCCCCGCTCCAGCCAGGCCCCGCCCCGCCGAGCCCTTCCGTCCCCGCCTCTCATTGGTTCGCGTACGGCCGAGCCCCGGCCCGTCCCCGGCAGGCCCCTCCCCGTCTCCCGTCTCCTTGGCTCGCTGCCCGCGAGTCCCGCCCCTGGCGATCGTCACTTCCGGGCAGGGCCGCCCGCGGAAGGCGGAAGTGTGTGCGCAGAGGCGGTGGAGCGGCGCTGAGTTGTCGCTGGCTGGCACCTCTCGGCTCTTCCGGGTCTGGGCTGGAACACGCCGAGGCGGCCCGCGGGAGCGGGCGAGGCTCGATGGCCGCCCGCCGGCCTGCAGGCTGACCTCGCGCCGCCGCCTGTGGTCGAGGCGCCGTCGCCCGGCGGCCTCCCTGGCTGAGCGACCCCCGGCCCCCAGCCGCACCATGACCGCCGCCGCCGCCTCCAACTGGGGGCTGATCACGAACGTAGTGAACAGCATCGTGGGGGTCAGCGTGCTCACCATGCCCTTCTGCTTCAAGCAGGTGAGTCGGCGCCCGCGCGGCCTCGGGGCCTTCCCAGGGACACAGACGCGCGTGTGCCGCGAGGCCGGCCGGCCCGAGCCCCCGCAGGGTGGACGCGAGGCCAGCAGCTGCTGCCCACCTGCCCTGCCCCGGGTGGGGCACCGGGTCGGTGGACGCGACCTCAAGGTGGCCGTGTTGGGACCGGAGACGGCGGCAGTGGCTTAGCCGTCGGTGAGGAGCCCTTTGCCCGCGCGCGGGACCTGGGACGAAGCGCCCTGCTCCTCGCCGGAGTGGCTCTGGTTCCTGTGGCGGAGGGCGGGGGACAGGGCTGGGCGCCGCGGGTGCCCCCGTTTGCCTGGCAGAGAGCCGCGTCCGGCCGTGTGGGGCCCTGGCCGGTCACCCTCCGCGCCCGTCGGTGAGGTGCCGCGTGGACGCCGTGGTTTAGATGCGGGGCCCAGGCGATTCGGCTGTCCCCAGACTTGGAACACCCGCCACGTGCGGTGGCAGTGGGTGGGCGCTTGGTGGGGGGTCCTGGTGCACCCACCGCACCTGCTGCCCGGCGCGTGGGGGGGCGAGGTCCCCCCGCTGGGCTGGACAGAACCTGGGCGAGGCCGGCGGGAAGTGGAGGGGGTGTTTAGGGCTTGACAGCTGTGGCCTTAGAAACTGACTTGGTGTAGGTGTTTTTCCTCTCCAGTGCTGGTAACTTTGGTTCTTTTTAAAAATATAAACATTTTAACGAAGTTAAGGGACAGAAACATGTCCACACCTTAGATACATTCTTGCTGATTTTTCTCATTTAGTTATTTCTCTTGAGATGGGGAGAGCGAGCGCCAGCGAGCACTGGTCGCCCCCCAGAGGTCCCCAGCGGCCTGGGCTGGGCCAAAGCCAGGGGCTGAGAACTCCGTCCAGGCTCCCTCGTGGGCAGCTGGGACGTGGACCCTCGTCCTCTGATTGGGGTGTGGGTGCCTTAACCACTAGGCTAAACGCCCGCCCCGATGAGTACTCATGGAGCCCAGCGCCAGCTGCCTGCCCATCAGTGCTGCCCACCCGAGGGCCCGCCTCCACGTGTGTGGGTGGGGGGTCCTCCTTGCCAGTGTCCGTTTGGCTCTGCTGTTTGCTGTTTGGAGCTCTCCCGTGAGTGCTGGGGAGCACGGTGCCCCGGCCTCGGTTCTGGGGTCACAAGACAGCGGCACCCAGCCCCCTCCCCTCTGCCCTCGCCATCGGCGTCCTGCACTAGTGTGGCGATGCTGATGCCACGGGTGTGGTGCGTGGCCCTTGGCTGTGCAGCCAGCACGGTCAGGACGTGGGTCAGTTCCGTCACCCCTGAGGCCCTCCCTGGCCACTCTGACTTGCTCCCAGCCCACAGAGCGCCCTCTCCCAGTGTCCCGCCCCTGGGAGGGCGGTGTCCCTCGGGGGTCTGAGCTGTGGCGGTGGCCTCGTGGTGTCATGCTGTGCGGTGACATTGCCAGTGTAGGATGGCCACAGTCTGCTGTCACCTGTTGATGCTGCCTGGTGGTTTCACGGCTCGGGGTGGTGAGCGGAGCTGCCGCACACACTGGGGAGGGGCACAGGCCTCCCTCTCTCCTGGGGGAGCCCTCGGCGGCCATTGCTGGCGCCTGGTGGGTAGTCATCTGACCTGGGAGGGGGGAGGCTGTGTCCCTTCCATCTCCCTTCCAGGACGGGGGCGCCCAGGCCATGTGCCCACGACCGGGGAGGCCGGGTGTTGGTGACACCCATCCACGAGGCCTGACGCCGGTGTGGCCGTCACATCCGGGGAGGTGGGCCTCTGGCGTGAGGAGGCGTGGCCGGGAGGCGGGAGGGCGGCGTTGCGAATGCGTCCATCTTCCCGCAGTGTGGCATCGTCCTGGGGGCCCTGCTGCTGGCCTTCTGCTCCTGGATGACGCATCAGTCCTGCATGTTCCTGGTGAAGGCGGCCAGCCTGAGCAAGCGGAGGACCTACGCTGGCCTGGGTGAGCCCGGCTGGGCCCGCGCGTCCTCCCTGTCGCCTGCTTTGCTCTCTGGAAAGTTCTCGGGCGGCAGTGTTTCATTCTTACTTTAAAATGCAATTACATTTCAGAGTGGTGGTAACTCACGCCTCGAAACTGAGGTGACACCACCGGGTCTGAGGGGATTGCTCTCCCCGCAGCCCTCGGCTCCGCCCCCAAGCAGGTGCAGGCGTGGTCTCCCCCCACCCCCCTGCAGCCCTTGGCTCCGCCCCCAGGCAGGTGCAGGCGTGGTCTCCCCCCACCCCCCTTGCAGCCCTCGGCTCCGCCCCCAAGCAGGTACAGGCGTGGTCTCCCCCCACCCCCCTGCAGCCCTCGGCTCCGCCCCCAAGCAGGTGCAGGCGTGGTCTCCCCCCACCCCCCTGCAGCCCTCGGCTCCGCCCCCAAGCAGGTGCAGGCGTGGTCTCCCCCCACCCCCCTTGCAGCCCTCGGCTCCGCCCCCAAGCAGGTGCAGGCGTGGTCTCCTCTCCCACCGAGTGCTGACCAGGCCTGACCCTGCTTAGCTCCCAAGGTCCGAGGAGACCGGGTGTGTGCGGGGTTGGGGGCTGCACTGTCCCTCTCCAAACAGAGCCGGCCGCTCCCCAGGGCTCTGGGTGCCAGCTGCCTTCTGCCCCCGCCCACTGCGCCTCGGTCCTCCTCCCGTTCTCTCCTTGCGGTGACGCGCTTCGGCAGCCTGTCTGCCGGGTCTGTGCCCTCAGGCCTCTCCCCCCACCGTGCCCACGCTCGTCCCGCTCCGCTCTGGGAATATTCCCTGTGGGTGCTGATGGGGCTGGGGTGTGTGAGGATCCCTGCATGTGCGCAGCTGGGGGGGGGGGAGCAGAATCAAGCCCTCCGCAGGGAGGCCCTTCCGTGGTCGGCCTGGCATGAGCGCCAAGGCGGCAGCGGTGCCGGGGCGAGGCTCTCCCCAGCCTGGAGGAAGCGCAGTCGATCAGGAAACCTGGCCCAGAGGGAGCGGGCTTCATTCCGCGTGCCCGCGGGTGACCCCTTCTCCCCGAGGGCCTGTGGGGTTCCTGAAGAGAGGCCCGGGGCAGTGCCCCACCTGGCTGCGACGATTCTTGGACAGCTCCTGAGAGGTCAGACTGGTCTGGCCGGACGTGAGCCGGCCAGAAAGCTGCCCGGCGGAGCCCCCTCCCCGCGTGCCTGGAGCACCGCCCTCCAACTGGCAGCTCCGTCCCGCATGCCGGGGCTCCGGCTCTGTGCTTGATGCCAGGCGAGGCGGCTGCCCCGTCTGGCTCCTCGCTGGAGCGCAGGGAAGGAAGGGAGGCGTCTAGAGGGAGGGGGGAGGTCCTCCAGCCACTGGGCCACTCCCCAAGTGGCTGCAGCAGCCAGGGCTGGGCCTGGCCAAAGTCCACTGCCAGGAGCTCCATCCGGGTCTCTCACGTGGGCGCGGGGGCCGGAGGAGCTGGGCCGTGGTCTGATGCTTCCCCGGTCATTAGCAGGGAGCTGGCTGGCAGCGGAGGGGAGGTGCGGAGCTGCTGTCCGGTGTGGGATGCTCCCATTGCGGGCGGTGGTTTAACCTGCTCCCGGTGCCGGCTGGGGCTCCTGGTTTCATGAACTTGGCAGCTGCTGCCCCCTTGCCCTGCTGTCCTGCTCCCAGGCCCCATCTTCACACGACGCGTGGGTGTGTCAGGTTTCTGGCTTCCTGTAGGCTTCCTGGCCCCCATGAACCCGTCTGAGTCCCGGGCGCCATCTGGCTGGGAGTCCTGTCGGAACCCCAGCAGCAGGGAGCGTTGACAGCCCCCGGCCTGGTGTCGCCGGGGCTGCCTGCATTTCCCTGGGGCTGGAGTCTGCGGGGTGTGCTGTCCGGCGTGGTTTTCTTCCCTGCTTGTTCCAGGGGAGGGGGACCCCACAGGACCCACAGCTGCGCTGCTTGGCCTGGGAATAGGGCTGTGAAAGGGGGCGCCGCTGCCTGGTGGGTTTCCCCTGCACCTGCCCGTGTGTGGAGCGGGGGTCCCGGCTTCCCACGCTGGCCCCGGGAGTGGCTGCGGGCGGTGGCCGGCCAGCCTTCTCTGCCTGCTGTGTCTGTACACAGGTGGAGTGGAGGCAGCTGCGTCTGGGGCGGGGGAGCTGGCTGCGTGTCTGCTCTTAGGGCCTGCGGAATTCTGCTCTTGGCCCTTGATCAGCTCAGGTTGCCGCTGTCCTCTGACGAACCTGAGGATACCAGGCGCCCTGGGCTGCACCAGGAGAGGCCAGAGTGACCCCTGGAGGCGGAAGGCTGCAGTGCCAGCTCTGGCACCGGCGCCGCGGTGCCTCATCCCAGCGGGGCGATCTGGGGCTCCCTTGTGCCTCCTGCGTTTTTTGGGGCCCTGTGCGCGGGGAGGCCGCCTGCTGCCCGCGTCCTGCTGCGGGTGGAGGGAGGCCTGGGGCTGCCAGGGGCCTGCCCAGGGGCGCAGTCCAGCTCGCTAAGTCAGCTTCCCGTTTCTCAGCAGTTGGAAGCGATGCCATCGTCCGGCTCCCCTCGGCCGGGTGTGCCATGCCCTGGGCCGCCGCCACCCGTCTTGGCAGCCAGGAAGTCCTGCTCCCCCACCCCCGCCCCCCACAGTGCACACGCAGGAGCCATGGCGGCCCTCTGCCCTGGGGCCGTGCAGGCAGCCCGCCCCACACCTGCCGCGTTGGGCGTTCCTCTTTTTATTTTTAATTTTCCCGAGTGAGGACACTTTCCCGCCCTGGGCTTCCTTTGTGACTGTGGGTGTGCGGAGCGTGGCGGCGGGGTTGCGAGCCCGGGCCGCTGGCCGCGGCTGACCCCGCCATCCTGTTCTCTCGCGGCAGCGCTGCACGCTCACGGGAAGGCGGGGAAGATGCTGGTGGAGACCAGGTGAGGCCGCAGAGCGGGCGGGGCCGTGGCCGCGCTGCTTCTGGAGGTGGACGTCCAGCTCGGTGCACCCTCGGCGGGATTCGTGCAGGGTCTCGGGAAGGGAAATACAGCAGGGAGCCTCGGGGCCTCAGCTCCCGGCACCGCCGGCGCGGCCCTGGCTCAGGCTGCGCCGCTGCCGCAGGCCGGCGTTCAGTGGGGAAGGCCGTGTTTTGCCGGGAGATGACGCCCAGCTGCTCGGTGAGCGGTGCGGCTGCCCTTGACCGCCCCTGCGGGTGCGTGCCCTTCCGGGCCCGCGGAGAGAGACCTGTGCTCCCCAGGACTCGCTCCCAGAGCCCCTCCCGCCCCCGCGCCCTGCGGGCCCAGCCGGGGTGGGGGCGGCTGGACCCCCGCGCAGACGCTGCTCCCGCCCCCGCCCCCGCGCCCTGCGGGGCCCGGCCGGGGTGGGGGCGGCTGGACCCCCCGCGCAGACGCTGCTCCCGTCCCCGCCCCCAGTATGATCGGGCTGATGCTGGGGACCTGCACCGCCTTCTACGTCGTGATCGGAGACCTGGGCTGCAGCTTCTTCGCGCGGCTGTCTGGGTTCCAGGTGAGGACGCGCTCGGGGTTCTGCTCATCAGGGGCGTGGCTGCTTCTGCAGCTTCCGCAGGGCAGCCTCAGGCCAGCGCCCACGGTTAGGGTAGACTTGCCCTCTGCTCGGAGCGCAGGGCTTTGCCAGGGTAGGTCTGCGGGGGGGCGCGGTACCGGGCAGGGTGGGGGTGGAGGGCAGTGGGTAGGGCCCTGCTCAGTTGCCCGCCCCCCCGCCCCACTATGATGAGGACCAGTGCCGCGGGCTGTCGGGCCTGGCACCCCTGCAGCCACCTGCCGCTGCCCAGGAGGGTGCCCGTGAGCCGGGCCCGGCTCCCTTCTGAGTGCCTGGCTGTTTGGGGTGAGGGCCGTGGCCTAGGGGCTTCTCTGCGAGGGGCCTCAGCCTCTGGGCCCTGGCAGGGTAGAGAGGGTCTCAGTGAAGACCCCAGCTGGGGAGGGGCTCTTCCCGAGCCCGCTGTGCCCCATCCATGGGCGGCAGAGGAAGTCCGTGAGCGCCCTGTGTGGTGACCGGGACCCAGCTCCCTGAGCCGTGACCGCTGTGCCCAGGGTCTGTGTTGATGGGAACCTGGGGCTCGGCCTGGCCCCAGGGGTTGGGCAGGACCCCAGAGGGCCAGAGTGGTCGTGCCCCCAGGAGTGGCCGTGAGGGCGGCGCTGGAGCAGGTGCACCGGCCTCGGGTGCCTGGCGCTCTGCTCCTGGATACGCAGCCGCCGGCCCGGTGGCCCCTGCCCTGTGCAGCGCGGCTGCCTGAGCTCCGCCCCGCCCCGCCCCCGCAGGTGACGGGCACCTTCCGCGTGTTCCTGCTCTTCGCGGTGTCGCTGTGCATCGTGCTGCCCCTCAGCCTGCAGCGGAACATGATGGCCTCCATCCAGTCCTTCAGCGCCATGGCGCTCGCCTTCTACGCCGTCTTCATGTTCGTGGTGAGCACCACGGGCCGGCACGGGTTCGGAGATGAGCTTCCTGTGGACTGGTGACCAGGGCCGTGATGCCAGCGTTGTCACCACGTGGCCGGGGTCTGTTTTCTGATTGGGAGATTAGACCAGGGTCGTGTGTGGAGCAGGTGCCCAGAGCGCGGAGGACTCGAAGGTGCTGCCTTCGCGAGTCTCTGCCAGCAGAGCTGAGCCCCCGGACCTGAGAGCCCCCCCCGGACCTGAGCCCCCCCAGACCTGAGACCCCCCCAGACCTGAGAGACCCCCGGACCTGAGCCCCCCGGGACATGAGCCCCCGGTCCTTGACCCCCAGACCTGAGAGCCCCCCTGGACCTGAGCCCCCCGAGACCTGAGAGTCCCCCAGACCTGAGAGTCCCCGGACCTGAGACCCCTGGGACATGAGCCCCCTGGACCTGAGCCCCCGGACCTGAGAGCCCCAGACCTGAGAGCCCCCGGGACCTGAGCCCCCCCAGACCTGAGACCCCCCTGGACCTGAGAGACCCCCCTGGACCTGAGCCCCCTGGGACATGAGCCCCCGGTCCTTAACCCCCTGGACCTGAGACCCCCAGACCTGAGAGCCCCCCTGGACCTGAGTCCCCCGGAACATGAGCCCCCTGGACCTGAGCCCCCCTGGACTTGAGCCCCCAGACCTGCTGCTCCCTGGCGAGGGAGTGGGAAGGGAGTGGGTGCCTTTGCGGCAGGCCCGGCTGGAGCAGGCTTTGGGTGCTGGTGGGGCCGCGGTTCTCCGGGCTCCTTGCTCCCCACGTGGGGACACCTGCCCACTTGCCTTCCACGTCCTCCTGGGTGGGTTGATCTTCGGAACGACACCCACGTCTGCCAGGGAAGGACCCAGCTTCCGATCAGTCTAGCGGACACAGGCCCCACGTGGCAGCTTGGCAGCGCCCGGCCGCGGTGCGGCTTGGACCAGGCTGTGCTCCCAGGGCAGGAGGAGCCCCGTGCCCCTGACCCGCCCCTCCCGTCCCCTGGCAGATGGTGTTGTCCTCGCTCAAGCACGGCCTCTTTGGCGGGCAGTGGTTGCAGCGGGTCAGCTACGTGCGCTGGGAGGGCGTGTTCCGCTGCATCCCCATCTTCGGAATGTCCTTCGCCTGCCAGTCGTAAGTGCCGCGCCCTGCCCCCATGGAGCCCAGGCCCCGCCCCCGCCACGCCTCCAGACCCGCCCCCGCCGCGCTCCGCCCCTGCTGTGCCCCGCCCCCGCTGTGCCCCAGGACCCGCCCCTGCTGTGCCCCGCCCCCGCTGCGCCCCAGGACCCGCCCCTGCTTGCCCCGCCCCCGCTGCACCCCAGGACCCGCCCCTGCTGTGCCCCGCCCCCGCCGCGCCCGCGCAGGGAGCAGCTGTGAGCCCTGGGGAGGTAGTCCGGCCGGATGCCGAGCCGTGATGTGGGGCCGGGCTGGCAGCGCCTCTGCCACATTCCCCGGAGAGCGGCCGCCGTGGGGCCTGGCGCTGCGGCACAAAGCTGTGCTGAGCAGATCACACCCGCCGTGACTGCAGAGGGCGTGCGAGCGTGTGAACGAGCGTGCGTGCCAGTGCGTGAGCAAGTGTGTGTGCCAGTGTGTGAGCACATGAGTGTGTGTACGAGCATGTGTGTGCGTGTGCCAGTGAGCGAGCACCTGTGTGTGAGTGTGCCGGTGTGTGTGCGTGTGCCGGTGTGTGAGCACCTGTGTGTGAGTGTGCCGGTGTGTGTGCGTGTGCCGGTGTGTGAGTGTGCCGGTGTGTGAGCACCTGTGTGTATGAGTGTGCCGGCGTGTGCGTGTGCCGGTGTGTGAGCACTTGTGTGTGTGTGTGTGCCGGCGTGTGCGTGTGCCGGTGTGTGAGCACCTGTGTGTGAGTGTGCCGGCGTGTGCGTGTGCCGGTGTGTGAGCACCTGTGTGTATGAGTGTGCCGGTGTGTGTGCGTGTGCCGGTGTGTGAGCACCTGTGTGTGAGTGTGTGCGTGTGCGAGCACGTGAGTGTGGGAATGAGTGTGCATGCCGGCGTGTGTGTGCCAGTGAGCGAGCATGTGAGTGTGTGAGCAAGTGTGCATGTGTGCGTGCATGAGTTCATGTTCCAGCTTGTAAATGTGCATGAGTGTGTGAACAAGTGTAAGCATGAATGTGTGTGCGTGTGAGGAGTGAGAACAAGTGTAAGCATGAATGTGTATGAGTGTGAGGAGTGTGAACAAGTATGAGCAAGTGTGTGTGCGTGTGAGGAGTGAGAACAAGTATGAGCAAGTGTGTGCACGTGTGAGGAGTGAGGACAAGTGCATGCGTGTGAGTGAACAAGAGTGTGTGTGTGAGTGTGAACAGGCATGTGCGAGGAGTGTGAATATGTTGTGTGCACATGTAAGGAGTGTGAACAGGCATGTGTGCGTGTGAACAGATGTGTATATGAGTGTGAGGAGTGTGAACAGGTGTGTGCACGTGTGAGTGTGAACAGGTGTGTGAGCATGTGAGGAGTGAAGAGCGTGTGACATGTGAGTGTGTGAACAGTGTGTGAGCAGTGTGAACGGTGTGTGTGTGCGTGAGTGTGTGAGCAGTGTGAATCGTGTGTGCACGTGTGAGCAGTGTGAATGGTGTGTGTGCGTGTGAGCAGTGTGGACGGCGTGTGTGTGCGTGTGTGTGCGTGAGCGCGGGGCCGCCCTGGCGCCCTCGGCCTGGCTCAGGCCCTCCTGCTGTGGCAGCCGCACTCCCTCGCCGGAGGCGGGGCCCACCGAGGAAGGAGGCGTGAATCTGGTGACGACGGGAAAAGGCCCTCGGCGTCGGGGCTGGCACAGCGGCCCGAGCGCCAGCGGGCACGCGCCGCGGCAGAGACTCGCTCCCACGGCTGCGCCCACACGCGCCATCCGAGCCGTCACTCCCATGTGTCGCCTCTCTTGGCGGCTCCGTGTTCAGCAGGACACGCGCCAGCCTTGCTGCTGGATGTCCCCGTTCTGAGCGGCGACAGAAGGCGCCTTCTCCCGGGCGTCCCTGGTTACCAGCGTCCTCTGCCCGCGTGCCTGCTTTGTCAAAAATAAATCCGCGGTGGGGCTTTGGGTGGTGCCACGTGGGTGCGGGGTAGTGGGCGGCGTGGAGCCGCGGCTGCCGGGCGGGTGCTGCTGCTGCCCTCGCACAGACGCCCTGTGTCCCCTGTGCCGCCTGCCCGTCTGCTGCAGACCCCCGCCCCTGCGCGGGGCCGCGGGGCTCTCCTGCAGGGGAGTGGATGCCGGGAGCATGGGACCAGTTGTCCCAGGCGGCCGGCGGGGGCAGGGCCCTGGGTCCCGGTGGGCAGTGGCCCCAGAGGCATGGAGGCAGCTCCGTGGGGCGTGGGGGGGGGGGGCGCTGGCGGCCGCAAGGCCTGTGGCTCCACTTTCTGTCTTTCCAGGGCACTCAGGGCTTGGACTGTCGAGTCCACAGCTCGGCCCCCCCCCCCGCCCCCCGGCCCAGGCTCCGCCCTCTGTGCCCGGCTTCAGTTCCACTGGCAGGCAGGGGCTCTGGTGGGCACTGCGGGGACTTGTGGGGCCCAGGCAGGTGTCTGGCCCCAGGCTGGGCTCTGGCTGCAGGGTGCCGGTGGGGGCCTGTCCAGCTGTCCTCTGGCTCTGCTGGTTCCCTCCTAGCCTGGGCAGGGGAGGGCGCCTGTCCTGCCAGGTGTTGAGCCGGGGAGCGGGGGGGCCGCTGCTGCCTGCTCCTCCACAGTGAAGTTAGGGACCCTCTCTCTTTTCCGTCACCTCGGTGAGGGCGGCCTTGGGGTCTGCTCCCCAGGGGTGCTCGTCTGCTTACTGCCCGCTGGTTCTTCGCGTCCAGACCAGACCCTGCCTTTCCCCTCGCACGCACCCTGGCCTGGCTCCTGTGAGCCTCTGAGCCCCACCTGGCGCAGCAGCTGGACCCTGCCCACGTCCCATCATCACCCTGGTCAGCCGGGGTTGGTGGGAGGTGGCACTGCAAGGGGAGGTATTCATTTACTTATTTACTTTAAAGATTTATTTATTTGAGAGGCAGAGTTAGAGAGACAGACAGACAGCGGTCTCCCGTCCACTGGCTCACTCCTCAAATGGCTGCAACGGCCAGAGCTGGGCTGATCTGAAGCCAGGAACCTGGAGCTTCTTCCGGGTCTCCCACGTGGGTGCAGGTGCATTAGCAGAGAGCTGGCTCGGAAGTGGAGCAGCCAGGACTTGGACCGGCGCCCCTATGGGATGCCGGCACTGCAGACCAAGGCCTTACCCATCATGCCACAGTGCAGGCCCCAGCGGGCCTCTTTTCATCCGCTGGTTCACTCCTCAGTTGCTTGCAGCAGCCAGGGCTGGGCCAGGCTGGAGCCGGGAGCCGGGAGCTCCGTCTGGTCTCCCCCGTGGGTGCAGGGGCCCCATCACTTGGGCCATCATCTGCCGTCCAGGGTGTGCCTCACCAGGAAGCTGGGTCAGACTGGGACGGGACTCAGTTCCAGGCACCCTGATGTCGGCTGCTCTCCCTGCCCCAGCCCACCCCTCACAGGAGCCCGGGCCGCCTGTGTCTTCTCTCAGACGCAGCCCACACGTCCCTGCCCGGGACAGAGGCTGCCCCCCTCGGAGTGGGAGGCAGCAAGCTGGGTCCCTGGCCGTGGCCGTCCCCTGCCCGCAGCGCCCGGCCGTGCGGGTTGGCTTGGCCTTGCCCCACCAGCAGGGGGCCCCTCCGTGCCTCACGGATGCCCGCAGCCCCCGAGGCCAGTGAGGGTTTCCGTGGTTTTGGCACCGCGTCCTGGCCGGGGCCCGGGGCTCGGGAGGGTGGGGGTCCTTCTCTCGCGTGAGGCTGCTGTCTTCCCACAGCCAGGTCCTGCCCACCTATGACAGCCTGGACGAGCCGTCGGTGACAACCATGAGCTCCATATTCGCCTCCTCGCTCAACGTGGTCACCACCTTCTACGTCCTGGTAGGAGCCGCCCCATGTCCCCATCCCGTCCTGCGCGGTGCTGGGCCCGCCCTCCGGCTTCCCGCTGGGCCGTGTCGGAGCCCCGCGGCGGCCGAGCTCCAGCGGGAGGCTCTGCCGTGCTCTGAGGTCCCTGGGGGGGGCTCAGGAAGCTGAAATGGGAGGGGGGAGCCCCACACGCCCACCCACACACGCAGCTCCTCGTCACGTCCTGGTAGGTTTTTCTTTTCTTTAATTATTCGCATATTTGAAAGGCAGAGTTGCAAAGAGTGAGCGAGCAAGATCGCGCTTCCATGCGCAGGTTCTCTCCCCAGCGCTGTCTCTCCGCAGCAGCCAGGGCTGGCCAGGCCAAAGCCAGGGGCCAGGGGCTCCACCCACGTCTCCCCGTGGGGGCAGGGGCCCAGGCACTCATGCCGCCTCCCGCTGCTTTCCCAGGCACGTGAGCAGGAGCCGGATGGGAAGTGGAGCAGCCGGGACTTGAACCAGTGCTCGTAGGGGTGCCGGTGCTGCAGGTGGTGGCTCCGCCAGCTGCACCTTAATGCTGGCCGCCTGCTGTCGCCGTCTGTTCTCAGTTAATGAATTTACTTGAGGGGCAGGGCGAGAGCTGGCATCCACGGATTCACTTGCCCAAATGCCCACAGCAGCCCGGGCTGGGCCAGCAGCTCCACCCAGGCTCACACGCTGGAGCCGTCACCTGCCGCCCCCAGGGGTGTGCCCCAGCGGGAAGCCGGCACTGTGGGTGGAGCCAGGACGCGAGCCCGGGCGTCCCTGCTCGGGACGTGGGTGTCCTCCGTGGAGCGCCAGCCGCTTCCTAGTTTCCTCCCAGTCCTCGTGCCCGCTGATGTCCAGGGAAGCCGCGAGTGTGCCCGGACGGCGCGCGCTCCGCCCTCGGGGTCCCTGCCCTGGGTCAGGCCCAGGGCCCCGGGGGCACATGCACCCCCTGGGGTCAGGCCCAGGGCCCCGGGGGCACATGCACCCCCTGGGTCAGGCCCAGGGCCCCGGGGGCACATGCACCCCCTGGGTCAGGCCCAGGGCCCCGGGGGCACATGCACCCCCTGGGGTCAGGCCCAGGGCCCCGGGGGCACATGCACCCCCTGGCTCCTGGCTGAGTGTTTGTAAGTAGTTGACTGCCCCCGTGTGGATTGTTTTGTTTGCTTATTTGTTTTCATGCACCTGAAAGACAGAGAGAAAGAGCTCTCATGCCCTGGCCCACTCCCCCGATGCCCACAGCAGCCAGGGCTGGGCCGGCTGAAGCCAGGAGCCAGGAACTCCACCTGGTCTCCCACGCGGCCGTCATCTGCTGCCTTCCCAGGCGCGTTAGCAGGGAGCTGATGAGAAGTGGAGCAGCCGGGCCCGAACCCGCACTCCAGCACGGGATGCCGGGGTCCGAAGCAGCAGCTTAGCCGGCTGTGCCGCAGCCCCGTCCCCAGGTGGCCCCTCTGAGGGCCCGGTGCCCGCCGCCTCCCTGCCCTCGGCTGTGGCACTCGGCCCTCCAGGAGAGCGAGCGCTGAGTGGGGCGCCGGGTGGCGTCCTGGGCCGAGGCCGGCTCTTGCGCGGCGGCCCCAGCCCATTGCCCGTGAGCCCTGCGCCGGGACAGGCTCCTGCGGGCCCAGTGTCCCCACGCTGCCGTGTCCTCCGCCAGGTCGGGTTCTTCGGCTACGTCAGCTTCACGGAGGCCACGGCGGGCAACGTGCTGATGCACTTCCCCTCGAACCTGGTGACGGAGATGATCCGCGCGGGCTTCGTGATGTCGGTGGCCGTGGGCTTCCCCATGATGATCCTGCCCTGCAGGCAGGCGCTCAACACACTGCTCTTCGAGCAGCAGGTGCGTGTCCGCCCGCCACCGGTGTGTCTGCAGCCGGGGAGGAAGGGACAGCGAGGCCCGCCATCGCCGGTCCACTCCCCAGCCGGAGCGTCACCCAGGCCTCCACGCTGGGCGGGACTCGAGCCAGCACCCGTGCGGGACGCCGGCTTCGCGAGCAGTGGCTTTACCCACTGTGCCGCTGCCCCGCTCCTCATGGATTTTTTTTTTAAACCAGCTTTGGAAAAGAGCACAGCGGAATAGAGGGGCTGAGTCACAGGAGATTTGGGGTCGGGGTCAGGGGTCAGGCCTGAGTCCCCAACACCCCAGCCGCACACTGCCCTGCAGAGCCGTCCGGGGGGCAGGAGAGGAGGCGCCCCAGAGGAACCAGCATGACTGGCAGGAGTGAGACATGGCCGGGGGGGCACTTTACTTTCACGTAACTTTGTCAGTTTTAACAGTTTAACAGATTCTTTTCATCGTGAATGAAGCTGCTGCTTCTCTGTGGTGTGCGCAGGCGAAGTGGCCTCCTGGCCCCCAGGGAGCTGAGCCAGAGGCCGTTCTGGTCCCTCCCTGCTGCTGAGTGGACACCCAGGGAGCACGTGGGCGGCTCCGGCCAGCTGCCCTGCCCGCCTCTGCCCCAGCCACGGCGCCCTGCTCACCGCGGCTTCACCCCTTGGCCTGGGTGGTGGCCAGGGCCGCGTGTCCTCTTGAACTGCTTCGGCCTGGGGGGGCTTTCGTGGTTCGAGAATCCAGGGGAGACTGCAGCAGCCAGAGCGGGCGGGGGGCGGGGCAGCCAGGGACCTGCCACCAGCAGCAGCCGGGGCCTGGCCTCGGGGCTGTGCCCCTCGCCCGGGTCCTGCAGCCTGGGGCACGCGAGCAGCGGGGGTGGGGTCGCCTGGCCGGGCTCTGGGGTCCTCCCAGCACTTCCCGGCTCAGCCCGCGTCTCGCTGTTTAGTGACAGGTACGCTTTGTGTGTGGCAGAGCCAGGACCGGGGTCGGCGCGTGGCAGGCGGGGCCTGTGCTGCCTGCCCTCGCCGGCGGCCTCCTGTGTCCCCATGTGTGGGGCACTGGCGCCTCACTGCCCCCGGGGGCGCTGGTCACGCCTTCTCCCTTTCTGACCTGAAGTTGCTGACTCAGCGCTGTGCACCTGTCGGAGATGACAGTCACGTAGCCTGTGCACGTGTGTGCATGCGCGTGTGTGCGTGTGCCTGGAAGGGCTTGGCTGCACTGGGCGGTGCCCAGGTGCTGAGGCACTGCCCCCGTGTCACCTTGGTGCCACTCGGGAAGCAGAGCACAAGGACTCGGTGGTGCCGTTTGGGAACGAGGCGGTGGGACACGCCCGACTGCGCGGGAAGCGCTGGCGCCGTCCACCCCGTGCCTGCCGGGGGAGCTGCTGTGCCGTCTCCCGTGCAGCCGCCTGGCCGCTCGGCGGGGCCCTCGCCGGGCTGCCCCGTGGGGGTGCCGGCCCTGAGCCGCGGTGTCTCTCCCTCGCAGCAGAAGGACGGCACCTTTGCGGCCGGCGGCTACATGCCGCCGCTGCGGTTCAAGGCCCTGACCCTGTCGGTTGTGTTTGGGACCATGATCGGCGGCATCATGATCCCCAACGGTAAGTGGGCGTCCGGGCCCTCCCCTCCCCGCGCACAGGGAAAGGCGGGGTCGGCGATGTGCCCGGGTGCGTGGGCGGAGCCCAGTCTGCAGGTGGGACCGCGGACGCCGACGCGTTTCGGAGGGGAGGTTGGCCCGGGCGGGATTTGGGTGCCCACACGCACCTGCTCCCCAGGGAGCCCGTGCCTGCCCAGGCTGTTACACTGTCCTGGAGTCGGGGCCTCCACAGGCAGCACCCCGGGGCCAGCCGTGGGCAAGGTGAGCCCCGAGGGGAGCCGGCCGCCCACCTGTCCGCCCGCCCTCCTCACCCCTGTTCCAGTGGAGACGGTCCTGGGCCTCACGGGCGCCACCATGGGGAGCCTCATCTGCTTCATCTGCCCGGCGCTGATCTACAGGAAGATCCACAAGAACGCCTTCTCCCCGCAGGCGAGTGCCTCCCGCCCCTCCTGCGGCCCCCACGCCGGCGTTCCCGCGGTGCCCGGGGGTGCACGGGCCTGCGGGGCTCCCCTCTGCCTGGAGGCGTCGCACTGAGGGAGCCGCGTCCCCCTGCTGCGCTGCAGACGTGAGCGTGCGCTGTGCAAGCGTGTGCATGTGTGTGCGAGCGAGTGCAGGCGTGTGAGTGTGTGCGTGCGTGTGCCAGCGTCCCCACCATGAGAGCAGTGTCCGCAGGCGCTTTCCAGGGACGGGGACCAGGCCACAGAGCAAGCACCCGGCAAGGGGCACTGGCGCCCATGTGGGAGGCCGACGTCACAGGTGGCGGCTTTACCCACTACGCACAAAGCAAGGCCCATTCGGTAGCAGCTGCTCTTCGAGTGAGAGCTGGGACCTTTCGCGGGCTGGTGCTGTGCCGTCCCAGCCCTGGGGTCAGCAGGGCCGCGGCCAGTGCGTGCCGTGCCGTGTGCCGAGCGGCTGTGCCGGCGTGCCTGTGGGCAGCTGTCAGCCCGCGGCGGCTCATCCGTGAGGAGCGCCTGCCCTGGCTGTGCTCCAGGCTCTGCACACTGCCCACTCGGCCCCTCAGGAGGCAGCTGCTCTGTGCCGGCTTTGCCCGGCTGGCAGCCGGCAGGCACCTTGGGAGAACTGCAGCCTGCCTGGAGCTGCCCTCCCGGGCACCCACTGGGAGGGCGAGACCCTCGGGAGGGACACGCCGGCCTCCCGTCTGAGGGGCTGGGGGTCGGCTGGTGAGGAAGGGCCGCCTGGCGCAGAGGCTTCCTGGGGGCGTTAGCGACTCAGTCTGGCGCACCGCACCCCTTCCTCCCATGTGCCGTGGCCCAGGGCCTGAGCCTCGCAGAGAGAGGGAGCGAGGGAGCTCCCTGCGCCGCAGCCCTGCGCCCTGAGCCGCCCCCGCCGCCCCCGGGCCTGCGTCAGGGCTGAAGACAGTGCCTGCCGTGTCTTTTTTTTTTTTTTTTTTTTTTTGTGACAGGCAGAGTGGACAGTGAGAGAGACAGAGAGAAAGGTCTTCCTTTGCCATTGGTTCACCCTCTAATGGTCGCTGCAGCCAGCGCACCGCGCTGATCCGATGGCAGGAGCCAGGTGCTTCTCCTGGTCTCCCATGGGGTGCAGGGCCCAAGCACCTGGGCCATCCTCCACTGTACTCCCTGGCCACAGCAGAGAGCTGGCCTGGAAGAGGGGCAACCGGGACAGAATCCGGCGCCCTGACCAGGACTAGAACCTGGGGTGCCGGCGCCGCTAGGCGGAGGATTAGCCTGTTGAGCCACGGCACCGGCTTCCTGCCGTGTCTTTACCAGAGCCTTTCTCTTTCCGTGTCTGGGAGGCAGCCTCGTGGCGAGCGTGGTAGGCCTCTGCCCGCGAGGCCGCATCCCCTGTGGGTGCCCGTTGGAGTCTCAGCTGAGCCACTTCCGATCCAGCTGGGCTCATTATGTATTTGGAAGGCAGACTTACAGAGGGAGAGACAGGTCACTAATGGTCACGATGGCCCGGGCAGGGCCAGGCTGAAGCCGGGAGCCAGGAACCAAGCCCAGGCCCCCCTGTGCAGGGCCCACGGCGCCGGCTCCCCCCAGCATCTTAGCTGCAGGCTGTGTGGGCCATGCTCCGGGAACGTGGCGGAGGTGGGTTTGGGCACACGGACGCCTGGGGCCTGGCCAGCGCCAGCCACCCCCACAGAAGGGCTTGTGTGAGCTGCTGCTGCCCCGCGTGTGCTGGGGCCGTGCTCCCCAGGCTGTCCTCGGAGGAGCCAGGCCGTGATGCCAGGCCTGACACCAGGCCGGCCCTCGGTGCACCAGGGGACATGGGGGCCTCTGTGACTGCTTGTGGATTTGGCGCACTGCACCCTGAGGCCAGCAGGGGGCGCCTGAGCAGCGCCCAGGGCAGGCGGAGGCCCCGGTACGCAGGATGATTTGGCTGAGCAGCAGGCTGGCCTCTTATAACCAGAGTGGTACCGAGATAGGGAGGCTGGGGTGCACCGGCCCCTGTGGGGCACCGGGCTGCAGGGTGCGTTCTGTACTTGGACGTCTTGGAATGTGGGTGAATGTGAGCGTTTCCTCCTGCACCCCCCCCCCCCGCTCGGGTTTGCAGTCTTGGGGCAGTGCCAGCCCGGTGCCAGGTGGGGGCGCCCCAGTCCTCCTGCTGGCCGTGCCGCTGCCCTGGTGTGACCCCTGCCGATTCAGCCGCGGTGCCTCTGCCTGGCCCCCACCTCTGCAGCAGCTCTTCCGCCCCAGGAGGCTGCACAGGACGGCCCATCCACTGCCGACCCCCGGCCCTGCGCCTGTCCCGTGCCCGGACCCCTGGCCCTGTGCTTGTCCCGTGCCCGGACCCCCGGCCCTGTGCCTGTCCTGTGCCCGGACCCCCGGCCCTGCGCCTGTCCCGTGCCCAGACCCCCAGCCCTGACCTGTCCCGTGCCCAGACCCCTGGCCCTGACCTGTCCCGTGATGCTGTGCCTGCCCGGACCCCCGGCCCTGTGCCTGTCCCATACCCAGACCCCCGGCCCTGTGCCTGTCCCGTGATGCTGTGCCTGCCCGGACCCCCGGCCCTGTGCCTGTCCCGTGATGCTGTGCCTGCCCGGACCCCCGGCCCTGTGGCTGTCCCATGCCTGGACCCCCAGCCCTGACCTGTCCCGTGCCCAGACCCCTGGCCCTGACCTGTCCCGTGATGCTGTGCCTGCCCGGACCCCCGGCCCTGTGCCTGTCCCATACCCAGACCCCAGGCCCTGCGCCTGTCCCATGCCCAGACCCCCGGCCCTGCGCCTGTCCCGTGATGCCCTGCCTGCCCAGACCCCCGGCAGGCCAGCATCACTGCTGCCCCTCGGGGTGCTCTGCACAGGTTCCGGTCCTGAGCGAGGCGTTTTCCTGAGGGTGGTCTTGGCCGCTGTCCCTGGGGGTGGCCAGGGCAGGGCGGGGCTCGGGGCCTGGGGTTCTTCCTTGGAGTTGGGGTGGGAGGCCTTTGGGGTGACAATGTCCGTGGGGGCCCTGGTATGTGATGACCACACGTCAGAAGCTTGGGGTCCCCCTCGGGGGCTGGAGACGTTCCCACGGCCTTGAGGGGCACCTGGCCTGCTGCGTGCTGTCCTGGAAGTCCCTTCCCGCCCCCTGTGGACACGCTGCGCTCCTCCAGGAGGAGGGGCTCAGAGCTCAGGCCCCTCGGGAGCGGAGGCGCCCGCAGTTCAGGCCCCGGGCGGCGGCCAGCAGGAGCAGGACCTCCTGGTTTGGCGCCGCCCCCGCCTCCCTGTGGGTGCCTGGCAGGGTCTCCGACGCTGGCAGCTCTGCTGGGTGCCACGCGGGGGAGCTTTGGGCACAGGTCATCGGAGCCTGTGTGCGCTGTGTGCGCTCCGTGGGTGGGGGGAACCCATGCCTCAGGGCAGGAGGAGGGACCCCTTGTGGCCGGGTGGTCCCCGTGCTCGGGGTCCCGACCTCTCCCTCCCTCCTGAGGGTGCTCTCAGGCCTGCAGCTGCTGGTGCCAGGCCCCCTCTCTGTCCTGCAGGCCAGCTGCCCAGCTGTGGTCAGCATGAGGGGCCTGCGCGACGCCGCCTCGTCTCTGTCCTGTCCAGGTGGTGCTGTGGGTCGGCCTGGGCGTCCTGGTGGTCAGCACACTCACCACTCTGACCGTGAGCGAGGAGACCCCCGTGGGCTTGGCAGAGGGAGCCGCGGGCGGCCCGCCGGGCGAGGCCGAGGACACGAGGAAGGCGGAGGAGGCCCGGCTCTCAGGTACGTGCCGGCCCGGCCACGGCTGCAGGTGGGGCGGGGAGGCGTGCACCTGCGCCGAGCTCCGGGGCTCTCAGAGGTGCCGGCGGCACGGGGCCGCACGCCTGTGTTGTGCTCTGAGGACGTGGACTCGCAGTCGTCCACGCTGACCCCTGGGGCGCTGGCCGCGGAGAGGCCTCTCCCGGGCCTGGCTCCCTGACATGGGGGGCGCCGCCTGCTGGAGCAGCGGCCAGGTTCCCTGCAGGCACTGCGGGCCCCCAGAGCCGAGCGCAGTGTTCCGCGGCTGCAGGGGACCTGGCCTGGGCAGCCCACCCGAGGGAGGCGGACGTGGTGCCGCCGCAGCCCTGCTGGAGGCCGCGGGGTACAGCGCAGGGGCGGTGCGGGCGCTGCAGGCAGCGAGGGGCTGAGGGCGGCGCCTGGTGAGCCAGGAGCCTGCACGGGTGCCGACCCGGTGGCTGCAGCCTGCTGGTCATTTGTTTCTGGCTGGGCAGCACCCGGCCTCCCAGCCACAGCCGGCACAGGCAGCTGCGTGCCGTCACGCCGTCTCGCGGCCACGGCCGCGCTCACACCTGCAAGGCCACATCTGGTTTCCATTCTCCTGCGAGGCACTGACGAAGCCCACGTGCCGGCTGCTTTAGCGCCGCCTGCTGGGCGGGGCCCTGCGTGGGTCAGCTCTGTCAGCCTGCCCGGTTACCTGCGGCTCCAGGGAGTGCCCAGTCCGGCTGAGTCCTGCGGAGGCAGGGACACCTGTGACGGGCAGGCACAGCCTGGCGCCCGCGGCTCAGCAGGTGGGCCTTAGGCGAGCGAGGCTGTCGTGTGACAGGCTGAGCGGTTAAGAATGCCCATGGGGCCGGATTCTGTCCCGGTTGCCCCTCTTCCAGGCCAGCTCTCTGCTGTGGCCCGGGAGTGCAGTGGAGGATGGCCCAAGTGCTTGGGCCCTGCACCCCATGGGAGACCAGGATAAGTACCTGGCTCCTGGCTTCGGATCGGCGCATTGCTGGCCGTAGTGGCCATTTGGGGGGTGAACCAACGGAACGAAGACCTTTCTGTCTCTCACTGTCCACTCTGCCTGTCAGAAAAAAAAGAAAAAGAAAAAAAAAAGCATGCCCACGGCCCAGTGCCGGGATCTGATACCCAGCCTCCTGGGCTGTGGACCTGGGAGGAGCAGGTGATGCTGCAGGTGGCTGGGCCCCCGCCACCCGCGTGGAAGACCTGGTCTGAGCTCCGGGGCCAGGCCTGGCCGCTGGGAGCACTTGGGGAGCACCCCAGCCCACGGCAGCTCTGTCTCTCAAGTTAAAAAAATAGCAAGGCTGGTGGGGCTGTTTGCGGAGAGCGCCGGGCCCGCTCCCTGCTCTCCGCCCCCTGTGCGCCGCTGCCAGTGCAGTCTTGGCCCCTGCTCTTGGTGCGGCTCCTGCCCGCCCTGGATGGGAGAGCCCTGGGGTCCTGTGCTGCCCCCGGGTGGGACGCTGTCCTCCCCACCCTGGCCTGGGCCTGCATGTGTGGCCACCTCGCGGGCAGGCGGCACAGAGGAGGGCATGGCCCCCCCTCTGCGTTGATGACATCATTCGTGGCTGCACACAGCTGTGCCCTGAATTCCGGGTCCCGCCCGGCTGACCAGTGATTTCACCGCGGGCCCCACCCTGGCGGGAAGGGATGGCTCCCGTGGGACAGGCTTGCGCCGCCACCTGGTGGAGGTAGCGGGTATTACATGGAGCCTGGGCAGCCGCGGAGGCACGAGTTTGCCCTGACCACGCACGAACCTTGAGTTTCCTGGGCTCTGCCGTTGGGCTGGGCCGTTGGGCTGGGCCGTCGGCCACACGGAAGTGCGGTCAGTTGTGTGTACTTACAGTGCAGGATCCCGTCGTGGCCGTGGCCGCAGCCCAGGATGGCCGGGAGAAGCCAAAGCTGCCGGAGCAGGGAGAGGAGGCAGAGCGGGCCCAGATCAAGGGCCCCGTGGATGTGCCTGGCAGGGCAGATGCCAGAGAGAGGCAGGAGGCCGCCCAGCTGGACCGCCCGGGGCAGGGTGAGGCCGCGGCCGCGGGGGTGGGCGGGGGGCTCCCGTGGCCCCTGACTGACGCTCAGCCCCATCTCCCCGCTGTGCCTGATGCACAGGCCGCTGGGAGCAGGAGCTGGGTCGGGGTCCCTGGGGAGGGCTGGCTCCTCAAGCCCCGCCCCTCACTGTGCTGTAGGAGTGGCCGTCCCTCTGGGCGAGGCCCACCGCCACGAGCCACCCGTTCCGCATGACAAGGTGGTGGTGGACACGGGTCAAGACCAGGATGGACCGGAGGAGAGCAAGGCCGCGGCCCAGCTCACGGGGGAGAAGGCCGCAGGGGGGCGGGCACAGGCCAGCGCCGCCCCCCGAGGAGGAGGTGGCCGCTGGGAGGCCTGGGCAGGACCAGGCTGTGGAGGAAGCCGAGCGTCATTTTGAAGGCCCCCAGAAGGTTCCAGAAGCACATGGCCAGCCCGCCGCCCAGCCCGTGAAGAAGGACCTGGGGCCCCAGGCGCTGGGCTCGGAGGAGCAGGCCTTGGAGGCCGGTGCCGGGGGGAACGCCGACGAGGAGCCGCTGCCGGCCGACGTGGGTGCTGCTGGGAACCCGGGAGAGCCTGCGCACGGGGACCCTGGTGGGTGCCGGCCGGGCCGGGTGGGAGAGGTCCGGGGACAAGGGGCAAGGATGCGGTCTGGTGGCCTGGCTGATACCCGGTGCCTGTCACCGTGGGGGGCGGGGCCAGGCTGTCGTCGTGGGTCTGGGCACACACCGGGACGGGGCCAGGAGCCCTGGCAGACGGTCTCGTCTCGACTGGGGCTCAGGGACGCCCGTGTCTGTGTGTGTGCAGGTGCCCCGGCCCAGCACCTGGTGGGGCAGGCGGCTGGAGAGCAGGCGGCCTTGGACGTGGGGCAGGCGGCCGGAGAGCAGGCGGCCGGAGAGCAAGCGGCCATGGACGTGGGGCCAGCGGCTGGAGAGCAGGCGGCCATGGACGTGGGGCCAGCGGCTGGAGAGCAGGCGGGCAGCAAGCTGGAGGGTAAGGCCGGGCCCCTGGGTCTGTCCTGCCCCGGGGGGAGGTGGCCTCTGTCGCTGGCTGCAGTGGTCTGGGTGCTGGCCGGTTCTAAGGCTCCTGCGCCTCGGGTGGCCTGGCCCGGGCGGCTGAGGTGGCCGTGGCCTCAGCTCTCTGCCCTCTTCCTCCTGGGACTGCCCCTCTGCAGAGGCCTCCCAGTGTCGCCCCGCCCCCCGGCGCTCCTGGAAGTCCACTTGGCTCTGGCGTGGGCTCGCGGGGCTGCCTGTGAATGAGCCGCGTGCAGCGGCTGCGGGCGTCCCCGTGCCGCTCTGTCGCTGGCTTCCGTCCGCTCTGTCCTGGTTCCGGCCCCATCAGCCTTGACCTAAACCTGTCTCACTCCGGCTTTCTTTCCTCTGCTTCTCTCCCACCTGCCCTCCCCGGGACGCTCAGCTGAGATTAAAAAGATAGTAGCAGGTAGGACTCGCCGGCTCTGCAGCCCGGCGGCGGCGGCTGGGGCTGGTTGCTCCCGTCCCGCCTGCCAGCCTGGTGCCCGTGGTCCTGGGGCTCGGTGTGGCCATAGCCGGTCACCTCCACGCCCCCACGCCTCCCAGGTGGCTTCCCGCTGGACGTGGTGGTGGTCCCGCCCCCATTCTCCCCTCCCCCTCCGTCTTGCAGGGAGCATGGAGGGGGCCCTGTCCTGGGGAGCAGCCAGGGAGGGGGCAGCAGCTGCCCTGTGGGCGCGACTCAGACACTGGAATGGGCGGGTGGCCTTGGCCCGTGGGCTTCCTCGTCCAAAGGGCCAGGCCCGGGCCGTCGTGGTCAGCGCTGGGGCGCGGGGCCGGCCTGTTCCCCCCGCAGCCGTTCTGAGGAGCCGCTGACCGCGCAGCCGGCTTGCGGCTGAGCCCTGGGGGAGGGGAGCCCCGTCTCCAGGGGCCGGTCTGGCCGTGCTGGGGGGCCCGTGGCTGTGTGTGAGGAGGGGCGTTTGCGCGGGCTGCCCTGGGGGCTGGGGGGAGGGCGGAGGGGAGCCCTGTCTCCAGGGGCCCGTGGCTGGGGAGGGGGGCTTGCCGCGGGCTGCCCTGGGGGCTGGGGGGAGGGGGAGGGGAGCCCCGTCTCCACGGCCCGGTCTGGCCGTGCTGAAGGGCCCGTGGCTGGGGGGGGTTGCGCGGGCTGCCCTGGGGGCTGGGGGGAGGGCAGAGGGGAGCCCCGTCTCCAGGGGCCCGTGGCTGGGGGGGGTTGCGCGGGCTGCCCTGGGGCTCCGCCCCGACCACGTTGCTGTGCGCAGAGGCGGGCCGGGCGGAGCTGCTGGAGCACGCGGTGCTGCTGCAGGTGATCCAGGAGCAGCAGGTGCAGCAGAAGCGGCTGCTGGACCAGCAGGAGAAGCTGCTGGCCGTGATCGAGGGCATCCACCAGCAGCGGCAGGGTAGGCGGGGCGGCGCGGCGCGGGGCGGGGCCGGGCGTCCACCAGCAGCGGCAGGGTAGGCGGGGCGGGGCGGCGGGGCGGGGCGGGGCATCCACCAGCAGCGGCAGGGTAGGCGGGGCGGCGCGGCGGGGCGGGGCGTCCACCAGCAGCGGCAGGGTAGGCGGGGCGGCGCGGCGGGGCGGGGCGTCCACCAGCAGCGGCAGGGTAGGCGGGGCGGGACGGCGGGGCGGGGCATCCACCAGCAGCGGCAGGGTAGGCGGGGCGGCGCGGCGGGGCGGGGCGTCCACCAGCAGCGGCAGGGTAGGCGGGGCGGGACGGCGGGGCGGGGCATCCACCAGCAGCGGCAGGGTAGGCGGGGCGGGGCGGGGCATCCACCAGCAGCGGCAGGGTAGGCGGGGCGGGGCGGGGCGTCCACCAGCAGCGGCAGGGTAGGCGGGGCGGGGCGGGGCCTCACGGAGCCGGCCGGGCGCTGCCGGCCACACGGGACCCTCCTCTCTCTGCAGGGGACGTGCAGCCCGAGCCCGGGGCGGCCCCTGAGGGACAGGCCGAGGAGACGGCAGAGCGCCCCCCGCCGCAGCCCCTGGGAGCCGCCGGGCAGCCGCCTGCTCCGCCCCAAGCGCTGGGCCTTCGCCCCCCAGGGGAGCCCCAGGAGAGCGTGGGCGGAGCCCCTGCGGGCCCCCCCGGCCGGGCCGACGCAGAGCCCCAGGCCGCCCCGGCCAGGCCACCGGAGCTCGGGAAGGACGCGGCGCCCGAGGTGGCCGGCGCACCGCAGGAGCCGCTGGGCCTGGGCAGGGAGCGGCCCGCCGAGGAGCTGCCGGGGCAGAGCCGGGACGCCCTGGGCGCTGGCTCCCGGGAGAGGAAGGGCCTCGAGGAGGGGGCCCCGGCTTTGCGGGCCGCCGCGGGGGAGGCTGACAGGGACCCCGTCAGGAAGCCGGGCCAGACAAGCCCAGGCCTCGGGCCTGCTGTGGGCCAGTCCAGCAGGTTAGCAGGGGCGGCCCCTCAGCCCCAGGGCCAGCAGGGTCACCCAGAAGTGGGAAGGGAGGCGCCCGGCGGGGGTCACGCCCCCGCCCCCCAGGAGCAGCCTAGAGCCAAGGAGGCCACTGCCGCCCAGGAGCCGAAGCCCAGGCCAGACCCGGGGCCGGGGCCCGAGCACGCAGCCCGCGACGGTGAGCGGCCAGGCGACGCCAGAGCCAACCGGGACCTGAAGCTGCAGGCCGGCTCGGACCTGCGCAGGAGAAGGCGGGACGTGGGCCCCGGGCCCGGGGGGGAGCCGGCCCCCGAGGACAGGGCCGGGGTCCTCATCAGCTTCCACCCCCTGCCTGAGGTCCCCGTGAATGACCTCCGCGGCGCCCTGGACTCCCGCCTCCGCCAGGCCGCGGGCGCGGTGCAGCTGGTCCGCAGCCGGCAGCTCCGACAGTGGCCCGGGGCTCCGCAGGAGGCCTGAGCCCCGCGCGCTTCCCGCTTCCCGGCCCGGCCGAGCCAGGCTGGGCCTGTCGCCTGTAGGGCCGGGCGCTGTGGCCGCCTCCGGGTCTGGATTTCCGATGTTTTTCCAGTGTTTTCTGTGGGCCTTGCAGTCTCAATAAACACTTGCGCCCGTCTCCTGCCTCCCCGTGGTGTTCTCGGAGCCAAATCAGGAAACGGACACAAGCCGGGGCAGGTGCCGCCCGCGCCGCCTGCGCTCCCTGCCCCGGGGCTCGCCGCGCGGGAGACCCGGGTGCCAGTCCAGGCTCTGGGCTTTGGCCTGGCCCAGCGCTGGCCTTCGGGGCATGTGGGGAGCTGACCAGATGAGGGAGGCCCTGTCCCTTCGTCGTGCTGCCTCGTGGTCCCGGGGGATCCCCCGCGACCGTGCGCCCTCCTGGAGCTCCCAGCTGGAGCAGCCAAGGCGGGGCCGTGGCCTGGACGCGGCACCTCCAGGGTCCCGGTGGTGCCCGAGGGGGTGTCCCGGGGGCAGGGTCTCTGCTGTGCCGATGCTGGAGGCCGCTGTGCGGCCGGGGTTCACCCCCCCCCCCCGTGTCGTGGTCTCCGTGTTGCACAAGCCACAGACCCAGAACGCGCCAGAAGCCAGATGCTGCTGCTTCCCGCCCGGCCTCGTGCCCCCGAGGACGGGGTCCTGAGGAGCGGCTGAGGCTGGGCCCCAGCGAGCGTTAGGGGGAGGGGGCGTCCTGGCCGCGCAGCTGCGGGAGGGGAGGGGGCCCTGGGACCTCCGCAGTGAGGGTGGCGCAGTCCCCGTGGTGCCCAGCAGGTGGCGCGCGCACCGCCAGCCCAGGAAGCCGGGCCCAGAGGCCGCCTTCCACGGCGGGGTGCGCCCGGGTGTGCGGGCCTGGGGCCCCGGTCCGCTGTTCCCAGCTGCGGTCCCCGCCCCACACGAGAAACCGCCACACACCAGCTCTTGGACACCGTTTATCTGAGAAGCGACAGCAAGAGGGCGCCGGCTCCATGGCCGGGGTGGGCGCCGTGCGGTCCTCGCCCCGGGCACCCCCACCGCTGGGAAGACGATCCGGGTCCAACACGCAGGGGCCTGGCCACGCGCACCTCCTCGGGGCGTGCCCGGCGTGTGCCCGGGTGCGCTCCCCGCGTGCCGGTGCGCGCGGCGGCCGGTCCTCCTAGCGGCCTCCCTGTGGCGCCTTCCTGGCCTGAAAGCAAGCACAGGCGCCTGTTAGCAGTGGGGAGAGGCCCCCCGGCCCCCGCTCGCTCCCCAGTGCCCACGACAGCCGGGCCGGGTCTCCCTCAGGGGCCGTCCGCTGCCTTCCCGGGCTGCGCCAGGCTCAGCCCCCGCGCCCGAGGCCACCAGGTGCGGGGGCCTTGGTCAGGGCTGGGGGCCGGGGTCAGCGCTCCTGCTCGTCCGCGCAGGACGACGGAGCCAGGACGCCCACCATCTGCTGCCCCGTCTGCTTCAGGCTCTGGGCACCACCGCGCCCAGGCCCCTCCTCCTGACCCTGGACCCGGGGCTCGCAAGGAGGCAGCCCGAAGCCCCTCCCGCAGGGTCACAGGCAGGAGGCCAGCGTCCTCGGAGTCCCTGTGAGACGCTGGGAAGACAGAGGCTGGCCGGGTCCGGCTGGGCAGTCCTGGTCAGCCCCGGCCGGCGGCAGAGCAAACAGGGCGCGTGACCTGCGCCTCGAGACGCCGGGGGTCTGGGGGCTGCTGCGGCTCCTGTCCTGAGACCCCGCCCTGGCTGGGCGCCGCGAGACCCCCACAGCCACAGCCCACCCACCGGATCCGCAGGGCGGGGCCAGAGCGCCTCTCCACACCCGGCTTCCCGGGCCGGGGTCTCCAGCAGCGGGGCCCCTGCGGTCCCAGCCCTGGGCACAGCGCCCGCCGGGTCCTCTGCGGCCCGCGGGGTCCCCGCAAACGGCGCCACGGCGACCACCACCTGCACCCCGAGCTGGGCCGCTCACGCCCGCGGTCAGAGGGGGCGGCGGGGCCCGCACCGGCAGCTGCGACCCAGGGCGGGGTCTTCGTGTCCGCCCCGCGGCCCCGCACACCCGCGCCCTGCCGACGCCAGAGCCCACAGGCGGCCACGGAGGGGCGGGGGGCCGCGTCCACCTACCGCGGCGGCAACGCAGCTCCGCAGGGCTTCGAACTCCCGCACGCACAGGTCCTTGCTCAGGCGGCCGCCCGGGGCCGTGGAGGCCTGCACGCAGCGGCCGTACGCGGCGGCCTGCGGAGAAAGGCGCTGTCATCCCTGCTCCAGCGCTGACCGCCGCTCGCCCTCCCGGCCTCCGCCCCGACCCGTCCAGGCTCCTCACCTCGGCCCCGCACGCTGCCAGGCGTTCAGGGAAGGCGCGGAGGCGGCTCCGCACGCGCCCCCACACTGCGCCATTCGCCGACATGAGCGGCACCTGCTGACATCCACGGGCGCCGCCATCTTGGTCCGTCCTCTTCCGGCGTCCAACAGCTTGATAGGTTGGCGCCTCCACCCATTATGCTCCCTGCGAAT